ATTTGAATAGAAACAAATGCCTTTATGGTACAATCACTATTAGAAAATAAAATGCTTTTGTTGTTGAAAAATGTAATAGTAATGGTTTTCAAATCGTGTCTAACATATCACAATGTTATGTAATTGCTTGTAACTTAGTATTCATGTATTTTGAACCACGTATAACCCTAGTGAGAGAGAGTTTGAAGTGTATCCTGTTGCAAAGCAAATAACTTGATAAAAAATTGCATCGTAAAATTTGCTTGATAAACTGCTGCATTATGGCACTAGTAATTGGGTTTCTTTGGATATCTTCTTCCTTTACATAATGGGTTGTGTATAAATCAAGGTTGCTGCATTTCTTTGAATAACGTAGATTAATGGGCTCCTCTCTTTCTTAGGTGTTTGAAAACTTGTGAAGTTTAGTTTCTATTGCTTACTAGCTTGTTTGTTTCTATTCTTGAATTTGTTCTTCACTCAATGGTTTTATTTGTTCTCATTATTTATTGAAATTGCTTTACTTTTTTTTTTTTTTTAGAAATTGCTTTACATGTGGTGTCGTCCCTTTTTCCTTTTTTGTTGATAAAATGCTATAGGACTTTGTCAATACATCTGGTGTGGGAATTTTTTCCATGAGTAGATAACTATGGGAATATTAGTTTTTTTTTTTTCCATGAGTAGATAATTATGGTTATCAAACACAGAAACCAAGAACTTCTTTAACTTCCTAAGTGGTTATCAAACACAGAAACCAGGAACTTTTCTAACTTCCCAATGGTTATCAAACACAGAAACCAAGTAGTTCTTTAACTTCTCAGGAGGTTATCAAACACAGAAACTGTGGACTTCTTAAAGTAACTTCTATCTTCCCAGCAAAGAGGAATTTCTAATTTACAGTTCATGAACTTGCTTCCAGTTATCAATCAGGCCCTATATAAACCTCACCCTTAAATAAAAGAAAATTGTTTCATGCGGGCTGGATCACATTTCTACAATATGCCGTCCATAGGTAAAAAGCATCCATCTTAGAGATGGATGCAAATAGGTGGTTCATCTAAAAACAAATGTAATTAACAGTCCAAATGTTTTTTTAATATAATTATTATTTCTATTTTTCAAATTTTTTTTTAATATTCATGATCTCCATGTTAAAGATTTTATATTCACTAAAAACTAAGATCAAATTATATTTAAAAATATATTTATTGCCAAGCCCGTATTTCTACAATATGCGGGCTGGCCACATAAAAACCATGTCCTTCAATAAAGGAAAATTGTTTCATGCCGG